CTGCTGCTCAGGGCTGGGCCTAATGCCACCCCACACCAGGTCTCGCACCTGCTGGTGGGTGCAGCTCCCGCATGCTCCCTCGTTGGAGGCTTGAGCACGGATGTGGCTGCTACGGGGCTCCCCGTAATACTATAATGACAATAAAAAAAGGCCTGAAAGGGCGTCCTGTCCAGATTTGACAGGTAATTTCGCATTACTTGGGCTTAAAGGAATTACCCTTTACAAATAATAATAATAATAATAATAATAATAACAATAATAATAATAATAATCCCACCCCACAGCATGGGACAATTTTATTTCCTGCTGGCCCTTCAGACGCCCTGTCCCGAGCCTCCGACAATTTAGGAGAGGCTCGATCGCCATTCTCAACTTGGCTGGGGCCATGTACTGCTGGACAGTGCTGGTGGTTTAAAAATTAAAAGTCAGGTCATCTTCAAGTTGTACAGGACAGTGAAGATTAACTACCATCTTCGCCTGAATAGATAGCGCAGTCATTATCGCCGCATCTGAGCTGAAAGTTGGCCCAAATACAGCGGAAAAAAAAAGACCGGCCATGGTATTTTCGGGTGAAGACGGTAGTGTGCCACCTGCCCCCATGTGGATGAACAACAATGGTACACAGATGCGAGTCTTAGTAAACAGGTCATGTTTTTTTTTTTTTTTTTTTTTTTTCAGACTTCAAATTCAGAAAATTTCGGATGGATATGGACGAATGCCAAATGATGTTAGTCGAAGCTACACTCAATCTACAGACAACAACAACAACAACAGCAAAAAAACTACAAAAAACAGAAAAGAGATTAGAGTACCAACAACCCGCCTAGCTCACAAAGGGTTAACAGGTGCCCCCCACTTTTCAGCCCCTGGTTGACCCCCCAAACACTGAAAACACTTCAAAACAGTGAAAACACTGAAAAGTGCATTTGGTGATTTTCTTTTTGAGTTTTTCTTTTTGAGTTTTTCTTTTTGAGTTTTTTTTTTTGAGTTTTTTTTTTCGAGTTTTTTTTTTTTGCCCTGTGTTGTTTTGGGTCAAGGTCTGCATGCGCCAAGTTCGGTGTTTGCCCTGTTTGGACTGGTGACAAGTCAGGCTTAAAAGGCATGCGATATTTGTTATACATAAGGAGCCTGGAAAGACCCTGAAAATTTAGGGCTCTGTTAACCAACTTAACCATCTCTCGCCTCGCTCAGTCGGTACACACATGAACTGCTAAAATACAGACCTCAGTTCGCATTCCGATCCACTCAGACGAGTACATAACACTGGATTAACACGGGGCTGGTCAGTTTGAAGATGATATCTCAAGTAGTTATTGATCCCCGTACATCTGGGCCCAAGACCCTCCTCTGTGCAAGCACGGATTCGAACCGGCGACCTCGGCCTCAAGAGCCAAGCCTCTTAACCCCTACAGCCAGGACACGGTGTTCAAAAGTGGAATCGTACCAGCCGTGATATCCACCCCACCCCTGCGAGGCTGTAGCGTCCAGCTCGACACACACCACACACAACACCACATGGACGCACCACACAGAAGTGGCAATTCTCGCACACTTCTCTCCAATCACCACGCGACGCCCACTGGTACCTGGCCCGCTCACACACATGGGTCTTCGCTTGCCCGCGGGTTCACTGGAGCCTCTATCTCAACGCCAAAAAGAAGGAAAAAAGAAAAAAGAAAGAAAGAAAGAAAGTAAGAAAGAAAAAGAAAGAGGTTATTACTGTATGCCAACAACATACCTTGTAGAGCAGTCGGCGAGTCGTCGTGTCCCAGATGTTAACCATGCGATCAGCGCTACCTGCGGTGACCTTGCTCCCATCGGGGGACCAATCGCATTTGAGCAAGTTCTTTTCGAAACCGTGCTGATGGCCGGTGAAAATTTTGACACAGCGATTCTGTGGGGCGTAAGGTCGCATGTCCCAAATTCGAAGAGTTAAGTCCATCGAATTCGTTAGAAGATAAGACCCATCGGGACTCAGTCTCATTCCAGTGATCGTGTCTAGATGACCCCGAAGCACCATCGACACTTCTCCTTTGCGCAAATCCCAAGCCTTCACGTCATTGTCGATTCCGCCGGTGTAAATCTTATCGCTTGCATCTGAAAACGCCACTGCCGTGTTCTGGATTCAATCAAGCACGCAATCCACCGCAATGACCCTCTCCGTCGTCAGATCACTAAGCCCATCCGTTCCGCCCTTTTCTTTCCCTCTCTCTGTTTTCTCCTTCATCTTCTCCTTCTTCTTCTAATCAGAGAAAAAAAAAACTATACATGACAGCAAAGTTACACAGATAGTGTCTTTTTTTTTTGAAGAGTTCTTTCCTATTTGTCTCTCCTTCATCTTCTCCGTCTTCTTCTCATCAGAGAAAAAAGCTACACATGACAGCAAAGCAACAAGGTCAGGTCAGATGACTCGTCTGACACGGCAATGAGTTTACCCCATTCATCGGCGAACAAACGAACCCCCTCGGAACCTCGACCCTCCGCCATTAAACCACCAGTACCTCGCTCAGCTATTGAATCCAAGCCTCCCAGCACGCTGCGCGCCAAGTCCTGCCGAACCGCCGTCGCAATTTTCTTTTTCGTTTTGCCTGCGGCCTCCAGCCAATGCGGTCCGGCAGGCCGAAGCCCAAATGGCGCGGCGCGTATACGGGAAGCGCCACGGCCGATAGCTGGGCCAAGTACTGGTGGTTTAACAGTCCGTAAGACTATGCGTTCACCATTTTCACTACAGTCCGAGGGTACTTTCATATCTGTCTCTCCTTCGCCTTCTCCTTCCCATCAGAAGAGAAAAAGCTAAACATGACGACCCACGTTTCCACTTCTCTTGCTCTTCACAAAAGGCAAGGAAAAAAGGGTGCGCAGAGAACACTGAATAACAATCAATGGGTCTTTGAAAGGATACAGCGGTAGATGTCAATCGATATGCCAAGGGGTAAAGAAGCGAATAGGTGACAAATAGCGAGGTAGACGACAACCTGATACTTATCCGGGAACGTCTGAAGGCATCCCCGCTGTCGCATATCCCAAAGCTTTGCTGTTCCATCATCAGACCCACTGACGATTAGAGGCGGTCCTCGCCTGGCAGGGCAGCAACTGTTCACAAACGATGAATGCTCGACCATTTTTTTCACCTGCAAAGCCAGTTCGTCAAATCGCCAACATAAGCCCTGTCTCTTATACACATCTAGATGTGTATAAGAGACAGCGATTATGGAGACGGGAATACCTCTGCACGCTTT